ATAATCTTACTTATAAACTAGGCTGGCTTATTGGTACTGCCAAAGCCAAAAACAAAAAAAAAAGTTCTCAGTGACCTAAGTGATCTATTTATGTGTACAAAGGAAAATTAGTTATGGCATAAATATTCTTATCAATAAAAAAACTTCACATTGCGCACACTTGATGTTTAAAATATGGGATATGTTTGCCTTTATTCGAAGAATCTTTTATTAAAATTTGAAAACAATATCTCCACAAATAAGAAAGTTGACATTGCGCATGCGCATATCTGATTTTTACAATATAAAAATGTGCTTACCTTTGAAATAAGCAGATTATACTTTCCCCATGAAATTTAAGTCATTGTGGACTGTAGAAGCTCGGTCAACTGTGGAATTTGAAATTTGATTGTCCATTCTGGCTCGAAATGGTGTTCCAAAAGGTTTCCTCCTGCATCGCCACCTGCGTGTCCCCCCCTTACTAAGAAAAAGGCTTACGGTTGTTTGTATCGGGCATCGTCTAGGCTTTCTCATATCATTGATAATCCTTCTTAAAACTTTCCAGCAGTTGACGAACGATGGCACCACCATGCAAGTTGATGTACTATCCACTGAAGGGAATAGCCGAACCTATTCGATTCCTACTGAGCTATTGCAATATCGAATTCGAAGATTATCGCTTCGAAATAGAGAATTGGCCACAGATTAAACCGACCACGCCCTTCGGACAAACTCCCGTGCTCGAATTCGACGGAATTACGGCACATCAAAGTGTCGCCATCTGTAGGCACCTGGCGAAGAAAGTGAAACTGGCGGGGGCCAACGACATTGAAGATCTAAAGATTGACGCAATCGTCGACACAATCGTCGACTTGAGAAAGAGTAAGCCGTTACTTACCCGAAGTTTTGCTAATGAGAGATTGTAGAAATTACCGCTTACTACTACGAGACCGACGGGGCAATCAGGGAGACACTTAAAAAACCACTCTTAGAAGAAACCATCCCATATTATATGGAGCGTATCGAGGCCATCGCCAAGAAGAACAACTGCCATTTGGCAGCAGGCAAGGTAGTCGTCTGATGAGTGAACCTTCATCTTCACTACGCATTTTTTTCAGCTTACGTGGGCTGATATTTATTTCGTCGGTATATTAGATGCCCAATGCTACCTCTCCGGGAAAAACTTGATAGCTGACTGTCCAAGTCTTCAAGTCATGCAGCGCAATGTGTTAAATCTTCCCGGTATTAAGGAGTGGGTAGCTAAACGCCCCGTTACAGACTTTTAACTTTTTATGTAACCATGCTAAAATATAGTACAATTAAAAGTTTGATGATTGTAACCGAAACTTTTATTCCCCACACACCATATTTATTTTTCTGTTAAAAAATCGTCAACGGTCAAGTGATACAGACATAATACAAACAGCAAGTTCGAAGGTCTACTTTTGAAAGTTGATAAAACTTTTCAGATCCGTCGTGATCATTGCATTGAACAAGTTATCCGACTTAAACCCGAAGCTTAGAAATAGATTGGAGTAGTGGTACTCTAATTCGCAGTAAAAGAATTAAATCTCTTAATCGAAGATCTCGATTAAGAAATAATTAAATTGGGTCCACTTACGCCAAGGAGCCTGGTACGTTGAAGATATGAAGTCCGCCACGTCCTAAGAACGAGCTTCTGATATTCGACAGCCTCTAAATAAATGCAGAGACTACCCCCCGACGAGAGTGGCCCGTCGAGAGACCTCAAAGGGAGTGTCATCGGTAACCGAATCACCCGCCGTTTGGGGGGTAAGGGGAATTGTAGACGTCGTTAACACCCACCAGAGCATTTCGACCATGGCCTCAACAGGAATAACCAAAGCTGAGGAGACCGACGACGAACATGCCGTATTTGCAGCTCCATTTCCTGGAATGGGCATGGAGATGGCGCGTATGATTATTCGTTGCGGGTAAGATTCCAGCAGATGTCCCGAAATTAGACAATAATATTCGCCAGAGAGCATTCTGGATTCCAATGTTTCCAGAAACCGAACGGCCAGCTCGGCGTGTTTCTTCAGGATCAAGGGCTCTGGGCTAGTCGGTAAAAAGTCGTCGAAATACACGTTCGATTTAATCGGCTACTTGCCCTTCGGGATTTTTAAACTGCAATAGCCATTTTAACGCAACACGGCCAGTACTAAAAAAGAACTTTCTACCGTTGGAAATTGCGACAGGACCCCCCCTATCCCAACGTCGCTGACATATACGTATCCAGGACAAAGTTTTCATGCGTATCACGATATCCCAGAATTTGTTGAAGCTGGACTATATCCGTTCAAAGTCCTTGCCTGTTATTCGCTGTTTTGCATAGAAATAGGAAACTTCTCAGTGGATATTCTTGGTCAAGAAATGCTCATTCTCAAATTGGCTTAACGTCAGAAAACGTCTTCTAGGTTTTTCACGCTATCCAAGTATATCAGGCAGGCTTTCCACGATATGCCCTTAATCACCGTCTACGTAAGGCGTTCAATGGGTTCTGGTGGCATAATTGCGACAGACTAAATTTTAATTAGGTCATACGCCCACATGGGAGATATTTGAGGCAATTAAACCACACGTAAGGTTATACAGGATCTGTGCGAATTATGTATTAAATTCATTTAATCAATGCTAAATGAAAAGAATTACCTTGAAGTGCCCCTGTCGTGAATTTGAACGTGATACAATTAACTAATGCCAATCTTGAACTTCAAACTCCACTATTTACTTCAAAAGTCATAATAATATAATATAATAATGAAATTTATTTGACCTCGCTTGTGTCTTCGAATTTCCCAAACACCAAATAACGTCCACGCTATTTGACTGTCACGCTAAAATTTACATTTTCATTTCTCCAGTACTTCAACTCAAATATTAATATTACCCAAATTTTGAAAGTCAAATGAAATGAAAATAGCAGAGAATACCAAAGAATATTCTTAAAGTTATACCATAGATTATCAGAATACCACAGATGATGTACGAAAAGATGCAAGATTTAAAATACCAGAAAAAAGAATATCGGAATATAAACGAGTTCCAAGAACTACCTTAAAATAGCAGACTACTGCCAGATATTAACAAGTTAAAAAGTAATCGTAAACGATTTACAGAAAGCGTATTTCCACTTGCATTCATTTCCCATTTGTAAGATGCAACTTCTGTTAAAATCGTAAAAATCCGGCCACAAATATGAAAGATAACGTTGCACATGGGCAATCCATTTTTGACGTGCTACTTCAATTTCAGTTTATAAGAAGAATTTCATTTCAATGCTTTCTAAATAAAAATGTTGGCACTGCGCATGTGCAAAACCAAATTTTGAAACTGGCCATTAGATTTTCATTTATTCCAAGTGACTATGTATCAAATTTCGTTTAAATTCTTCCATAAATAAAAAGTTGGCACTGCGCATGCGCAAAACCAAATTTTGAAATTGGCGTTTGATTTTCATTTATTCCAAGTGCTATGTATCAAATTTCATTCAAATACTTTTATAAATAAAAAAGTTTGCAATTCGGTTTATAAATGGTCGAGATGCGAAAAGGGCACTGCGAATTTTGAATCGATTCGACTCAACTTTTGGCATTGCGTATTATATGGCTAAAGCTATGCCCATATTGAATTTCATGCAATTCAGTTCATAACTAACGGAGATTTCAAAGCGATCGGACATTTCTAAACAAAGTTATCGTTCACACGGACAGATAGAGGGACAGACAGACAAAGATAAAGAACTAGTAGCGTCTCAACGAACGAGCGGACGGACTGAGGGACAAAATGGCCACAATGGCGCATTTTTTTTGTGGAAATGCGCTAAAAAGGAGTCAACTCGTCGTCAGGAAAGTATATACTTCCGCAGGAATAACGGAGTTATAATGTATTAAATCACTATCACAAAAAAATCATTATCGATAATCAAAATGCCTTTAAACGGACGAATTAAAATATTTTACCTTTGAACTAATAGGTCGCAACCCTTCCGAGCTCAGAAGGGCGCTTTCTGCCAATAATCTGCAATCGGGTGAAACACAAAACAAAAGAAGAGCGATAGCACGGCAAATAAATGCGAGACAAACTAACATTTGGCACGTCAGGTAACTCGGAACACGAAAAATCGTAACTGACATTCAGTTGAAACGTTGAAAGTAATAATTCCATTTACGTTAGATAGCAAAAGTTAAATTTCGACTCAACTACGAACGACCGGTATCGGAATCGTTAACGTTGATCCAAGAAAACTAAGATACTCGTTTTAAATTTGTTACAAACTACTTAAATACAACAAATCGAATTAAATGAGTTAAACAATTACTGACTAAATTTATAATTTTAAAATGAGAAATCGACAAACTTTTCAAATTCTGTGTCTATTTAAAATAAACCAGGTCCCAGGTCTTATAAAATAACTTGTATTGTGTTACTTGCAGACTGCTATTTTCGATATTCAGACCGAAATTACGTTAACAGCACATATTTTAGCACTTCAGGGTGGCTCGTTCTCATCTTTTGACATTGATTCAACCTAGAGAAGCGACATCATGTAGTTAACACAACTCTATGGGTACTATTTGAAGAAAAATATAAAGAATTTAATGAACCTGGAGAAACTTAAGCGTCTGATCAATATGGTTCCGTTTCGGATTTTGCATTTTTTGTTGTTTAGTCGACAAACGGATCTCTGCCCTAAAGTAGACTTGCACCAGTGTGACAGAGGAAGTGAAGTAGGTCGAAATGGAAGGTGGGGTGTGTCTGTGGGCGGGGTGAGAACTTCAAAGCTGAATATCTCGAAAGAGGGCTCATTGAAAATATTTTTTTTTGCATACCTACTTAATTTGGATATGTGCAGTCTGTGTGAAAAACACCTGAAAAAACCCCCTACTCCACACAAACTGCATGGAGAACGTTTTCCTGCAGTCCGACGGTCCCTCTGTGATTGTTTCTTAACCACAAATGACGTTGAACGAATCGTATAAACTTGTGTATGTTTGTTTCAGTAAATCTCTGCGATGGCACCACCATACAAGTTAACTTACTTCCCAGTGAAAGCCTTAGGAGAGCCAATCCGTTTCCTCTTGAGCTACGGAAAGCTGGAATTCGAAGATTTTCGCTTCGAAAGAGAAAACTGGCCCGAGCTCAAGCCAAAGACGCCATTCGGGCAGGCGCCGGTCCTCGAATTTAATGGCGTCCAGGCGTATCAGAGTATCGCCATTTGTCGTTATCTGGCGAAGCAGGTGAAACTGATGGGCGCCAACGATCTCGAAGATCTGGAGATCGATTCGATCGTTGACACCATCAACGATTTGAGAATGAGTAAGTTACGGTCGCCACTTGTGACATTATTAACGCGCAATTCTAGAAATCGCCTTGTATTCGTACGAGGCAGATGAGGCGGTCAAGGCGACGCGCAAAAAGCCACTCTTCGAGGAAACCATCCCGTATTATATGGAACGTATCGAGGCGATCGCGAAGAAAAACAATGGCCATCTTGCAGCAGGAAAGGTAGGCTTTTGCGCTACGCGGTACCTGGCTTGATCCATTATTTTAGGTCACATGGGCTGATCTTTATTTCATTGGGATACTGGACTACATGAACTACATGGTCGGTCACAATCTAATTGCCGACTGTCCAAATCTGCAAGTCATGCAAAAGACGGTATTAAACCTCCCAGGTATTAAGGAATGGGTTGCTAAACGCCCCATTACAGACATGTAATTTTTTTTCATGTTGTTTTTGTACAAAAATGGCATTCTGTATTTTGTACCTATCTTGTATTAACATATAAGCAGTAACCTTCAATTTCATTTGTACTGTTATTATTCCCTAGGCTAATTACAGGTATTAGTTTCCGTAATTGCTATGCATATTACATTATTTTGAATTTCCATATCTTCTACATTAACAATGACAATTCCTATGTTTTGTGTTGGGACTGGAAGGGGTTTTGATTCGGGCTGTGCAGGAGGATACTATATGTGGAGGTACCTAACTGGCATCAATGGTAAACGTGTGAAGTATGGTCAGGATGAGAGACGGAGTAGTATGGTCAATCTTGTTGTGTACATTATAATGTATATGTTGTATAAAGCACCACCCAATTGTTCTTCAGCCCTATAGTGGTCGCTAGCAGACTCTCACTCCGCACCATTGATTGTTTTGTAATTGCACAACTATTTAGACCCCCACCGATGTCATGCTCTTGTTACCTTCTGACAATAAAGAATCGGTACTAACCGTTCGTTAGATAAGTGTTGAATATGTATCCAATCAGCTCTATATTATTTTAAACTAATTTACTCACCCCATCAAGTGTACTGTAATCTTCCTAGGGGTCTATCAAGCCGACACTGAAAACGCTGACTTAGGTACCCTATAGCACAGACCCTATAGGTACATACCGTTGGAAACTCTGGGAAAAAACTACGAACAGGGCCACATACCTTTCAAGTCGAAACGATGGACGTTTACGCGGCACTTTAGAATTTTGATGGCAGTCTGCTCGTTATGGGTGGCACGAATGGACTCCTACGTTGTGTAATTGGTTCTTCTATGTGTTGGGACGTGAGACATAATGGGGAAGGGAATTAAATAAAACACAGAACTTTTGTGCGTAAGAAATGACCAGAACAAATAAATATATTGCGCATACAACAAGACCATACCAGGGAAACCTTCTACGGGACAAAAACCCCGGCATAGGCCCCACAAATACATGGAATAGATCACCTACAGCAATAAAATGCAAGAGAAAATACACATTGTATGATAAAAATCAGGTAATCAAATCAAATGCAATTAAACAGGTTCATAAAAACAAAATACACAAGACATCATAAATGCAGTGGAAAACATGATAAATCAATTTAGTGCAAAAACACATCAAAATACCTGTACGATCACTTGCGATAACACAAATAATGAATGGCATGTATGTTCATGGTGGCCAACTAGGAATGCGAGGTACTGTATCTCAGAACCTATCCATCGTAAAGGCTTGCGGTAAAAAAAGTCATTACTAAAACGGCCACGAGCAAAACCTGGAAAATATTTTTAAGTTTCTGAAATGGCCGCTAGGGGGCGTAACTGCAATCTGGAATCTAAAAAAGTGATGTTTCTGTGAATTCCGATATATTAACCTAAGAAAAAATGTCCGATCCTTGAAGTCGACGATAATCTGAACCTTTTGTGTTTGACAATTTTTCCTGTATCTCTAAAAATGAAGTGGTGGGGGTATTCAAAGGTTTCCGTAAAGAACACCCTGTACATTTCAGAAACTAAAAAATATTTTCCAGGTTTTTCTCGTAGCCGTTTTAGTAATAACTTTTTTTTACCCCAAGCCTCTACGATGAACAGGTTTCCAGATACAGTACCTCGCATTCTTATTTGGCCACCCTGTACATAGGAAAAATCAAAATGGCGTGGCTCTACTCCAGCCTTCGTTAACAAAATTTTATTTGACACAAAAAGTACATGTGAGAATGCCAATAGCAAGTATTCATGTGAAAATTGATTATCGCTCAAGCAGAACATATTTTAAATAGAGGAAATGTTAGTTACACAAGCTGCCAACCGAATCTTGTGGGATTACAGAAAAGGGAAAGAGAGCGAAGATGAGACGGATGGAATTTCTCGGAAGAGCACGTGTTTACCATTACAAACACCTGCAGTCCATTTTTTTCCTAGAAATGCAGGGAATGGGCGATTTTCGGGTGGTTTTTAGGGGTATTAAGAGATCAAGTTACCGGTCGCTTGGGGAGTCAATAAATACGATTTAACATGTGTGTTCATGGTCTTTTACTTTTAACCGGCTAAGTGTAAAGTACGGCTTATCTTGAAATATTTTGTTATACCTTAATCATTACTGTGTGCTTTTGCTTTTTATATCAGGTAAGGTATTTGCTTAATTCAATTAATCTATACTTAAATGTGTTTAACTTGAATGCAGATTGTAACCCTTTACTTATGTAGGTACTTACTGAATTCAATCTCTTGTACCTCTAATGTGTAGGTAATCTTTGTTGGTATTGGCAATCATGTTCCTGTCCCATAATATCTGTATTGTACATAATTGCATGTGTCCCACTATTTGGGTATCGTGCTTTTTAGTCACTCTCGATTATTGTATTGCATTTCATTATATTTACTTATTTGGCTATGGGTAATCAAGAGGGAAGTGTGCTTGTTTAGAGGGGATCGAGTTATTCAAGTTTATAAGGGCCTTGGTGAACCTAACACTAACATTTTCACTCGTTCCGAAACCCAACAACTTTAGCCCACGTCTACAGGCACCCCACTGGGCCTGGGTAATCCTACCGCCCGGCGAGGTATATTTAATATCTCTTAGTTTTGTCTGATGTATGTGTTGTAATACCTGGGGAATGGCTCGATTCCATTTTGGTTACTCATTGCGTGTATGTAGTATTTATGCCGGTTTCGAGAGGGCTCAAGGGTGCTGTACATTAGATGTTAGCTGTAGGCTTTGTTCATTATAGGACTACTCCGAATTAGGTTTTCCTAATTCGTAAGGTAAATCCCGGAGTAGTATAAAACCACTTAAGACAATCTGCAGGGGCGCCGTATTGGTATCGGTATTAGCTTCAATATAATTTTAATCCGCTATTGCTTTTGGTGTTCCTTACCCGTAAAACGCCCTCAGTGCCTGCTGAGAACCCGGTTAGGTATTACACAACGTAGGTGCCCTACATGACGATCACGATCTTAGTGCACTCGGAGTGGCCCCCGAGTGACAGATTCTTGCGGGAAATGTAAGCGAGAATATTCAAATAGGCAGCCATGTTAGTTTGGCATTCCCGCTACTACAGAATCCAATATTCCGGCGTGACTTGAAGTTGGCGTTAAGGTGGGTTCATAGCTCTTCGTTCTTACGTTTCCGTTTGTCCGTTAGCCAATCAGAAGACAGTAAATTTTTAAATCGTACGTCGTCCGTTTACGACGGAAAAGTTTGTTGAAGTTGAACATTTACGTTTCCGTTGTTCCGTTTTTAACAAGAGTGAGGTTATGTTTGGTACGTTAACAGTGTTCGCCTATTCGTTCTTCACGGTAATAATCAGATAGCAACGTGCTCTTACTTTCGTACCATTTTTACATACTGAAAATCACGGAGGGTACAGTACAAAATAAAATTTAGGTTATGGTTATACGTTGCAAATGTACAATGTCGACGGATTGCTATGAACCTTAATAAAATGCATTATCCGTTTGACAGACCAACGCAACGGATGAACGGAGAGCTATGAACCCACCTTTAGACCGCCAAGATAGTAGGGGGCTAAGATCATTACACTATTACGTGATTACCGTGTTTTATTTTGCTTTTCTTCCCTACTGTACTTCAGGTCGTAGCGTTGTTTACAATTACTGCTTTAGACATTCGATTACGTGCCACTTTTTCATGGCGAATTTATGAGGGATTCGATGAGCTTCTGAAGAGCGCTCTAGGATAATCAATCTGAACGCTCCTACTTCTTAAACTTCTTATTGACACCCATTCTGGGACGTACAACCTTCTCTACCAATGAAACTCATTTCTTTCTAACCAATCAAATGCTTGAAGACCCTAAATTGACGTATATAAATCTGGCTCATATTGACTCAAAATTCCACCGCACCAACACGGCACCTTGATCGGAAACCATTCGCCCAACAAATAAAACAACAAAATTCGAAAGAAACCTGCCCTATTAACATACCGCATCACCCAATTCTATAAACCTATAAAATTCCAAGAAAATAAATATCCGGCAACGGGTCTCCGTTACACAAGCGAGTAGTAAAAGTGAATTTGTTATAGTGACAGCTTGGTGTAAAGACGCGCGTAGGGATTCTTGGTCTGTTTCTTTCTCTTACTTGAAAACTCAGGATGAAAAATGATCTACATGGTTCACATATTTTTAATGATCATGAATACACGACTTCAGAAGCTTAATTAATTGTAACTGGGCGCTTAGCTACCCACTCCTTAATTCCGGGTAGATTCAAAACGTTCTTTTCCATGGCCTGAAGGCTTGGATAATCCGCTATTAGGTTCTTTCCAATCATGTAGTTTAAGTAATCCAGAACGCCAACAAAATGCAGATCTGCCCAAGTGAGCTGGAAATTGCACACGCTAAAGACCGGTCGCCACTGCAGAACTTGCTTACCTTGCCTACCGCAAGATGTCCGTTGTTTTTCTTAACGATAGCCTCGATACGTTCCATATAGAACGGGAGGGTCTCCTCAAAGAGCGGTTTTTTACGCTTCTCTTTAGCCTCCGCATCCTCCTCGTAGTAATACTCGTCTATTCCTAAAACAGTCTCGTACGAACTGAGACTCAAATGGCCAGAGCTTACTTAATCTCAAATCGACAACGGTATCGACTATCGTGTCGATCTCCAAGTCCTCAAGATCGTTGGTTCCCGCCAGTTTGACTTGTTTTGCCAAGTAACGACAGATGGCGACGCTCTGATGTGCCGTAACGCCGTTAAATTCCAGCACCGGAGTTTCGCCGAAGGGCATTGTCGGTTTAATCTTTTGCCATTCGGGACCGTCATAGTCTATGCGGAAATCTTCAAATTCGATGTTACCATAGCTCAAAAGGAAACGGATCGGTTCGCCCAATGCTTTCGACTCGAAATATGTCAGCTTGTATACCGGTGCCATCATATGAGTACTGCAACACAAATGTGTACTTACTATTTATTTATCAGCCGATAGTGATAGATAAAGAAATTATGCTTCTTATCAAAGTCCATTGATTCAATTTGAATTCACCTACCCACCTTAAGTAATTGATAACTTGCAATTGAGAGTGTACTGCTTTATGAAGAACCTTTCCGATACAAGAAAATAATACTTTCATTACACTTCCCGATTGCCATTACCGATAGGGGAAACGCGTAGGTACGTAAAAATTTCCACTTAGGGAACTGCCACACCAAAAAAATGAGTTCGAAATACAGTAGGCAATCGACTTATCTTGAGAAGTACTCCAGATTATGAGAAGGTGGAGAACAAGGTGAGGCATTGATATATTGTGATGGCAGACCCCTACGGTTAGGCAACACACCTTACGTAAGAAAATACGAAACGCTCTGTATACAACAATCATGATCGATTCTTGACTGTTTTGCGCAGATCCCCAAGAACAATGATTTTCGCGACGAAACTTGGCAGAAAGTTAGCGTCAGTATTGTAGAGTACTTATCCCCCATTGAAATGTGGCACGTGATCTAAGGCAGGGCCCCCTTACGTAAGTTGTAAACAACGCTATGACCTGAAGCACAGTAGGAAAGGAACGTAAAATAAAACACTCAAATTGTTTAATAATTATCGTAATTATTATGATTGTAAAAGCTCGGAAATTTAAGTCGAAATAAATTGCATTGCAAAAATAAACTTTGAAAATGGTAGTTCACCAAATAAAAATAGAAATAGGCTGGGAAAAAAAGAACTTACCAATAAAAAAAACCAGCCGTCAAATTAATATCAAATTGTGTTGTAAAATTAATTGTTTGTAATGATGGGAATGCGTAACATAAAATTATAACATCACAAAAAGTAGCAGGTAAACTTCAAGAGGTAACATATATAGGTTAAATACAAGGTTTGGGAATTATGGGTCAAGTAAGCAGGTACCAAGATTCTAAGAAAGGGTGAAATACACAGGATGTGACTCATCTTTGGTGCAATAAACTTCTTTTGTTAAAAGCAAGATGGAAAATTACATGGCCTTGTAGGCAAATTTAACTAAAAACAAGATATGTGGAAATTATTAAATCGCCACTCATTTATCGCGCATATATTCTAAACTGAAGATCTTTGATTAGTGTAATCCCGCTCCTGTAAGATAGGTAACCCGCCTCTGGTTTCGGGGTTTCGAGCCATCAGTTGAAAGTCGAAGACAATCACGGAATTAGGTGTCGTATTCAATTTTGACCACAGTTTTTACCACCCCCGTGACTGCTTCATTCACTGAGAAAATTGTTAGTTACAAACAACAAGTCAGTACATACATCAAACGAATCGGCAATTTCAACATATTAAAATAAAATGTTCAAAACTTATATGAATGTTACTTCAGGGACAAGACCAAGTAATCAACATCAATAAACATAAATTGAGCAAGCATTACACCAAAAACGTAAACGATTACAAACAAAAAGGATAACGCTATTAAACATGTCATTCTGCATTGCGGTTAAACCAAGTAAATTTCAAAAACAAAGATTGAAACACAAAAAATATAAAATGTGGCATACGAAACAGAAATACGATATAAAGAAATGCAAAAATTACTACCTGCATTAAATAACACAAAATAACAACAAACATTTATGGAGCGACGCGTTCACGACCGCCATTCAAGACAAATCACAATATGCCAAACGTAACCCCCGTTCGTGCTTTCTAGATGGCGCAAATCGCTTTCCCCTCCTAAAAATTGCGTGGCTGCCAACTCTCAAAAATGTATGTATCGTCGTAAGTTGTATACGAGTATACAGGGTGGAACCTCTCAGAATATAAATCCTGAACCTGTGAATGATTGATTTATTCTGTTTTGAAAAGTGTACTAATATTGTTATTATTTAAATTTTCGATTAGATTTTGACATTTACTTATTGAAGTGTGGCGTGCTCCAAGCTTCTGTGTACCGTTACTGAATCATGTTTGTTTACAATGTAGTAAAGTGCTTTTTTTTTCACTACTAGCGTCTGATGACATGATTATTAACCTTTTTTTCACTTGTAAAGTAGGCTTTCTCGGCATTTGTTCAAAGTGGTTAATAATTTTTTATTATTAACTAGTAGTCAATAATGAGAACTGTCACGCTGTCACTTTTAGAAAACACAACCCGAAATTTCGCTCAATGAACGTTTAGACAAGTTCTCTAAAACGAATAATTGCCACCATTCGCAATTTCCAGAGAAATTACATACCTAAAATTATCACATTTTGAAAAAATTCGAACGAAATTACTCTTTGAAAAATCTCAATGACAGAACAAAATACGGCCTGTTTGACTTGTACTTCCACGTACTTGATTGACATGTTAAATTAAAAAACAAACAATTCTGTCCAACCGTTAACTCTCTTATCAATATAATATGTTAATTTAGAGGATTTCAAGTGCTAGTAGTGAAAAAATAGTATATATACCACGGTAGAGAAGTCTATTATTGCCTTCGCATCTTACACCCCTCGGCGCAAGCGCCTCGAGATGTAATCTTCGTGCTCAGGCAATAATACTGTACTTCTCTACCTTGATATATAATGTACTATTGCTTTCGTTTAGTACAACATGAATACTGCTTGCGTTTGCACCTTTACTTTTTCGAGTATTCATGATAGCCGGGACTGATGATTTTTATTGCACGATTTGAGAAGTTTGATTTGCATTTTATTTATTATGACAGTTTTTTCTTGCTCGTTCTGTTTTCCTGGCTTTTCGGTTTGGATTTTCTCCTCGAAACCAAACCTCGTGGGTAATTTCATATTTATATCTCTTCGGACGCACAAAACTCTTAGATTTATTCAATTCCCTTCCCAATTGTACTTCACGTCCCAACACATACAAAGAACCGCTTAGGTTATTAGGAACGAGATTTTGAAAAACGGTTTTCACTGGCCTCTTTGAATGTTATTTGGCTACTAGCCCCCTGGCGGAGAAGGATTCAACTAAATGAACTATATTTATGGATTCTTATTGCCTAACTAAGGAATACTGTTTTCAACGATACTAAATTTGTTAAAATCGGTTCAAACCGTTTAGAAGTTAAAACAGGTTATTGCAAAAACAATTGAACGCCCCACACAATCTTTGTTTATGAAATAACAGTTTTTTTTACGAAAATGATAGATAAACTGGTTCTCTTTAAAAATGTGAAAAAAAACATTTTTAGTTTATTATGTGTAATTTAAAGAAAATGCAATTTTAAAATTTAAGATGGCAGTTACGCCCTCTGGTGGTCATTTTTAGAACTTGAAAATAGTTTCCAGCAATTCTTCATGACCGATTTACCCAATAATTTTTTTTACCCCTAAGTCATACGACGAACGGTTCCGGAGATATGGCCGGGGAACGGTTAAAAACAAAAAAAAAGACTGAAACCGGAACCGAAAATGACTGAAGCCCCACAACCGGAACCGGGACCGGAATCCTTTAAAAATAATTCTACCGAAATAGTGCGGAACCGGAACCTGTATTTCATGTGCGTTCCAACCCCTGCTCGCAAGTCGTAGTTAGACCGTTTGGGGCATCAAGATTTAGGCAATTGGTACACAAAAACCTACACCAATTGTCACATCCAGGAGCGAAGGCCACCTACAGGCCCATAGCGAAAAAGTTCGTATGGGCTAATAGCGAAAAAGGAAAGCCAGAATACACAGAAATCGAGGCAGAAGACGCGACGCCTAAACGTGTCCAGCCACCCACCAAAGACAAACACAGACCTTACGTCACCTAGTCCGGCAGAAAACTGTAACGCAAGAGTCCGTTTCAACATAATGTGATAGCGACTCCATCGCCAGCAAGGGGGTATGTGACGTCACGTAACATCACGCGCTCGCCATTCGGCGTAAACGCTGTGACGTCACAAAGTATCGCGCGCGATCGCCATCCGTCGTAAAAACGAAAACTCTCACTAAATAGCGTGCAGGCTTTAAACTGACGGGGGCTAACGACATCGAGGACTTGGAAATCGATGCAGTAGTCGATACTGTGATGGATTTGAAAGCAAGTAAGTTTCGTTGGTCATTTAAAGCTCTGATAGTACTAAATCGTTTTAGAAATTGTCGAGTATTTCTACGAAGAAGATGCGGCCGTTAAAGAGAGGCGTAGAAAACCGCTTTTCGAGGAGATTCTCCCCTTCTACATGAAACGCATGGAGGCTGCCGCGAAGAAAAACAAGAGCCACCTTGCAGCTGGCAAGGTAATTAACTTCTGCGAATATAGTTTTAGTATTTACTATTTCTAGCTCACGTGGGCCGATGTGCATTTTGTTGGAATTGTGGATTACTTAAGCTTTATGATTGGAAGGGATCTGCTGGCGGATTGCCCCAGTCTTCAGGTCCTGCAGAAAACTGTTTTGAAGCTTCCTGGAATTAAGGAATGGGTGGTTAAGCGTCCCGTTACGGATTATTAATTATATACTGTTGGAAAATAACGCTACCGTTAAAATCAGATCTCCATCCCGCAAATTCCCGAACAGCAGACACCTTTTGCAGGGGTGAAATTATGCCGACAATAGTATGTTATATTATAAGGAGTTAAAGTGATACTTTTAATGGCGAGTCCATATTCTTATGCTAGTTTTTCCTTCAAACGTGAGAATAATGGTTTTTAAATCGAAAGAAAAATCCCGATCTTTATAGGTAGCCGTAACCGCGTCCCTTTTTGACATTTTAGACGTCTGTCTGTGCGTTGGCACTGGCACCGTATAGAAAGTACTCGTTAGTATTGGCAACGTATAAAAAAGTACTTTCCCAGATATACATTTTAAATCCATAATGTACAGGGAATATCCTGTCCATCTTATGTATATACTATGTATATTCATTATAGACATATATTTTATGACCAGTATGAATATTCTATAAATATACATTTTGTATGTGATATAGATGTTTAGGCACACGCATTGTATGTATCTTTTATGCATAAATCTTATACCTCCTCACGAGGATCTTCTATGTACCTATATACATGGGATTATATGTTATGTATATACGTTTTAGATTAGATACATGCGTTTTCTGTATTACCGACGTTACAAACGTTAGCGTCTCATTTTCTGTGAATTACGGCGATGAAGATAGTAAGGCGCTATTGCAATACAGTTCATTTTTCTAAATTCAGGAGTGTTATTCCGCGAGTTATTAATGAGTTTGTTTGTCTAATTTGGACAGTGAAAGTAATGATTTTTATTTCGTGTGTGCATGACCTAAAGTTGCAAATATGTGTTAGTGAGATGTAAAAATTGGATGGGAATTAATATAAGGACAAGAATGGCAGGTATGTTAGCAACCTATTTGTTATGAACTCGCGCTATTATAGTGTTGAACAAGAACACGATCAAGATGACTCAAGACTACCGTGTTAAATAAAACAATAATAATTTCTTAAGTACATTTTCCATTGTAGACTAGGAGACTTAATAAACAAAAAGCTTCACTCAGTGAAAAGAATTTATTTATGTAGGTATCGATGCTAGTAAACTTCCCGAATGTTAGAGGAATCTCTATAGAACATCCATTCTGAATGTATACAATATACATAGAACATCCTATTGAACATCTTTGCATATTACAGGAATATTCATGGTATATCCAGTTGTCAGTATACCAATATACACAGCATGTCTGATGCATATACATGCATATACATAAGACATCCAAAACGTATATACTATGTATTATGTGAAGTCTGCCAAACTTATATCCCATGCACATACATGGGACATTTGCGACATAATTTTCCACATTCTATAGATATACAAAATCCCACGTGGAATGTACATGTTATATGCAATGTATTTGTATATAGGTCTACTATGTGGGGTATGACCAATGGATGTCCACTGGATGATTTTGAACCAGTATACATATGTTGAAAGTCTACATTTGGTACTAGTTTTGTCCAAATTTGGTCCATGTCATACTTCCGTCAATAATGAACTTCATATTTAGGCCCATTTGATGGACGTCATATTTACGTCCACTGACAATCATTTGTCATAATTCCTTATGAAAAGAAAAAACCCTTACAAATATTTTAAAGCAATTTATTGCTAATCTAGTGCACATTTTAACCAATTCACAGGTCACGTTTTGTTCTTTCTGTGGGACGTCTTAACCAGTTGGATATCTCCAGCGGTACATCTTTTTCTGTCGCTTGGCCATTACAACGAAGTCCACGATGAAGTGAGGCACCATCGTACCATGTCAAATGTATCATTTATTATATCAAAGTAATTATGGTTTTGTCTAATATTGCTTTCAAGGCAAGGAAAGATTTATAAAAAACATAGGACCAAATATGGACGTACATACATGTGACGACCATACGACATCTCAAATTCACGTACGTAGGACGACATTTTTTGTCCAAGGACGAATGTACAAATAATGAACCATACACGTACGTACATAAAAATGTACGGTGCGATCTGGGTTTTCTGACGCTGTCAATGACAACGAGTGGTTTTTTATACGATGCTAACGCACTGACATCTAAAAGAGCTACTGACAAAAAATAAAAATGATATCGAGTAAATGCATAAATAGAAATGGGCAAAGAGGAGAACGACAAAAGGAGGCATATTAACAGAGGCTAAAAAAGATACAAAGCAGGAGCAGGGATACATGAAAGACTAGTAGAAGTGGAGGCGAAGAGAATGATAACTATATACATATAACAGAGAAGGAATGAAAGAGTTAAAAAATAAGATGGATGAAAAGGAGAAAAAGGGCTAATATTGGGGGACGACAGAATAGGGAATAAAGTAAATTGGGTGGAGATGGGCAGAGAGACACAAGATAGAAAGTCAAGAGATAAAGAATTTTATGTTACTCGGATGCGGTGACACTTCTTTTTCATCAACTAAGTCCTGGCGAACTTTCGATCTACTACAAAGGGATAAGTGACAGTACTCAGGACAGATTGGCTACAGAAACGCGAACTGGTATTAAGAACTGAAATGGCATGCGAAAATTTAATGCTCAATTCTGCCCCCGCTGACAACTGCAGTAAACTTTTTACAACTACTCCTAACCAGCACAAATTTTTCTGAAATATTCCATTTAGCTACAGATTACCCTATACCCTATTGATTTATCAGGTTTTCCACTGCATTTATGATGTCTTGTGTATTTTGTTTTTATGAACTTGTTTAATTGCATTTGATTTTCATCATACAATTTGAGATATTTTATTTATTTGTATTTTCTCTTGCATTTTATTGCTGTAGGTGAATTTATTTCATGTATTTGTGGGGCCTATGCCGGGGTTTTTCTCCCGTAGAAGGTTTCCCTGGTATGGTCTTGTTGTGTGCGTAATATATTTATTTGTTCTGGTCATCTTACGCACAAAAGTTCTGTCTTTTATTTAATTCCCTTCCCGATTGTGTCTCACGTCGCAACACATACCAGAACCGATTACACAACGTAGGAGTTCATTCGTGCCACCCATATCGAGCCGACTGCCATCCAAATTCAAAAGTGCCACGAAATGTCCATCGTTTCGACGTGCAAGGTAGGTGGCTCTGCTCGTAGTTTTTTCCCAGAGTTGCCAACGGTAAGTAGGTACAGAGTAAGTCAACGTTTTCAATGTCGGCTTGATAGACCCCTAAGACCATAACAACATCAATCGAATTATGCGTTTGGATAAAGTGAAAATTCTGTATGTTTGCCTACTCTGCTCTATTTAGTCATTCGATGGCTTATGCTGGAAATAGGTGCCTGGCTAAGCTAATGTAAAATGTTAAAGATGCGGGAATATTTGTATATCTGCATCTAATTATCACCCTGTAGCAGTGCCGTTTTTAGGCATGGGCCACCTGGGCCCGGGCCCAGGGCCCCGAAGTCCTGACGGACCCCCAAAAGTTGGTGTGAATGAAAAAATTTTAGTGCAAAATCTGCCGCCTTAAAGTAAATGCAGATTTAAACAAAATTAATGCATAGAGTAAGGGATACCGGAAATTCTAAAATCCTGCAGATCGTGTATATAAGGTTACCATTTAGAAAGATAAAAAGTCCTAATAAGTGATAAAAGCCTAAAGTGGGTATTACACTGAGGTTTGTTTGAGGTTGGTGATCACATATCTATCTACGATATGTACAAACTTTTGAAAAACAACAATCTTGATGAGACGTTTCCGAGGACGTTTCCTAATATAGAGATCGCGTTCATGTCTGTGAAGTTGGCCTGGATAAAATAGCCCGGCAGCATCGCACCATGCTAGATCGTTAGTGCTTTGTTAGTGCTCGTTAGTGCCTCATAAGTTAACATAAGGGCTCAAACCGTTTTCTCAAAATAAAAATTTTTTTTTGTTCGGGTCAAGTTCACGTGTGCCCGGACAATGACTCCAATTTGCATCAAATTTTGTAGATCGTTAGTGCTTATTAGTGCTTCATAATTCAACGTTAGGACTCAAACCGTTTTCTCAGAATACCTTTTTTATTTGTTCGGGCTAACTTCACGTTTGCCCGGACAATGACTCCAATTTGCATCAAATTTTGTAAATCGTTAGTGCTTGGTCAGTGCTTGTTGGTGCTTCATAATTTAACGTTAGGACCCGAACAGTTTTCTCAGAATAAATTTTTTTATTGATTCGAGCCAACTTCACGCTTTCCCGGACAATGACTCCAATTTGCATCAAATTTTGTAAATTGTTAGTGCTTGGTCAGTGCCTGTTGGTGCTTCATAATTCAACGTTAGGAGCCAAACCGTTTTTTTTAAATAAATGTTTTTTTGTTTGGGCCCACTTCACTTTTGCTCGAGCAGTACCTTTCCAATAAATTAAATTGTACCTATACATAATACCGGGTGATTCATTAGAAGTGATGATCATTTGAATTTCGAGCGTAAGGTTGTAGTATTTTTTGCATTATTAGATTGACGGTTTGAATTTCGTTAGTCATTTTTTTCTGTCATGACTGTCATTTAAGAAACCAGTGTCGCCGTTAATTGTTGTGTGCCATTTGCGGTTTATTACTTTTTCCATTTTGGACAATTGTTGGAGTTGATGCACTAAAATATGTAAGAAACGTGACTGTGTCTAGTGTTAGTTTATAATTTGTGGTAAAACAGAAGCAGTATTTGAAGATTATAAATAAGTAAACGATTTACTGAAAGCATGATGATACACCACTGCAATTAAATAAATGATCATCACTTAGTACCAACTTCATAATTTATTTGATTTGCGGGAAATTCAAATTGTCCTCACTTCTAATGAATCACCCGGTATATCGTACGATTAAATAAATTAAGACATTACAAATTGACATTTGTATCCAAATACAAGAAAGACATAAAGATGAAAAGATGCAAAAGTAAAATAGTTAATGTGAAGAGCAAAATAGAGGTAACATTTTCAGGAATTAGTGAAATTATAGTCTATTTTATGCCCCAAATATAGAATTCTACAAAACAAGTTTACCTAACATAAATAGATAATGTGTACCTAATTAATAACATATCGATATAAAACAACAGAAGCAAATACAAGTATAATTAGAATTGAAACAATCTAAGAGTATATCTCCATTAATGAAAAGTGTTGTGG